CTTATCGGAGAAAGCTTCCGATGCAGGAGAGCCCGGCGGTTGGTACGCGAGTAATAAAAGTCGTGGCTCACTGACAAACGTGGATAACGGATTGCTCGCAGGCTCGCGTAGGAAACGCCCGCCGCGTCGGCTATCAGTAGAACGGCTCTTAAGTGTCCGCCGGAACGAACGCGAGCGATCACATTGCTAAACCATTCACCGCCGTGCTCAATGCGCCGGGCTGTGTGAAATGCGTTTAACAAAAATCTCTCCGAGTCGAGTCGCGCTCGGGCGAGCGTCGATAGTTTCGTTGTCGCGCGACTTGCGCAAACGCGTCGCCGCGTACGTAAGATGTAACAAGCTTCGGCAAGACGGCAGAAAAAAAATGGACCCTCGGGAGAAAGATAAGGAGAGTTGCACTTGGTTCCACCTTCTCGCCGGGAAGAGGAGGAAAATGAATCCCGAAGGACCGCTCGCGAGACTCACGAAGGAGCGCTCGACGATCGTCTTCCCGCACTATCGGAATTTTGTGCACATTAAATTCTCATTAGTTTCCCGGCTATTAGTTTTATTACATCGGATAACGCCAAGTTAACAAAGTTAAATTAAAAAACGTTTAAAAAGGACATGGTAGGGAGGAAAGCTGTGCCGGAAAGCTCGAGCGCTATGTGGCGACGAGTAGTCGGCTGCTGAGTCTCGAATAGGTCCCATCGACACATCTCTGTTTCTTGCGACACGGTAAGTTTGACGTTATTAAGACCGTATCTCATCGTACGTTTCGTTCTTTACACGCAGGAGGCGCGTATTTTCGCGAAATAACGCGTCGGCGATCCTTCGAGACGATCGTATAAAGTGTCACACTTCGTGGCCGTTATTCTCCCCTCGAGCGACCTCGACCGATCATCGCGTTCGTAAAGCACCGAATTTTAGATACTATATTTATTTTGCCAGTCGCGCGCGCGTGCGTTTGCGCGGTTCTCTGGATTTACTGCTGAATTGAAGCAGAGCGCGTTTATTTGTGCCGCGCACGTGATACTAAATGTGATACTCCGTGAGCTCTCTCTCTCTCTCTCTCTCTCTCTCTCTCTCTCTCTCTCTCTCTCTCTCTCTCTCTCTCTCTCTCTCTCTCTCTCTCTCTCTGTCTCTCTTTCTCTGCCTCTCATGTACTTTTTTAATCATTTTTCGTTTGCAACGTGTTGTTTAGCAAGCGAGCTCGTTCGGAGGAAGAACGGAACGAAGGTTGACTTTTATTCGAGTGCGATACCTCTTCGACCTCTCGCAAGAGCGGCTTGATAGTGTCGTCGTTCCGCGCTTCTCTCTCTCTCTCTCTTATACTTTTTCCTAATAAAACACTTATTCTGTAATAGAATCTTAAGGTAAAAAAAAAGGCGGAGTTACTCGGTCTGAGAGACCGATGCGCGAACGCGATTTCGTCAGAAACCAAAGTTTATACCAAAAATAAATTTCAAATACTTTTATTTTTTCATTACTCGAGAACCAATGACTTCGAAAATTACTTGCATTATTATACACGCGTAAATAAATAAAAAAAAAGTACAAATACATATCAACATAATATCATAATGATTTCTTACGTTGAGCGTCACCAAAAGTCTCCATGATACCCATTGAAAAATGACTGAGGAGACTCGCCAGTGACTGACGCGCGTGAATTCCAGATTTCTGATCCACTTCGGTTCTGCCACGGTTCAACGTGGAAGACAATTCCACGAGACTCGTGTCTCGCGTGTCCGCCGGCGCATTGTCGCACGCCGCATCGCGCGGAGTCTGCTCTCCGTCGCAGCAAGACACGTGGAATAATCAATCGGCCGATTATAAGCTGGAGCAGACCGGATCAGGCGCTCGCGATCTCGCGTTGCCGCGTGCGCATTAATCAAGCGCGTCCTTATCCCTCTAACAGCTCTTAATAGCGGCGCTTCCCCGTGCTTACACGCGTGTCGCGAGATAGGGTCGCGCCGAAAGAAGGATAACGTCGCCGATATCTCGCGACGGCGATCTCGAGAGGCACGTAGAGACAGAGACAGAGCGGGCAAGAGAGAGAGAGAGAGAGAGAGAGAGAGAGAGAGGAGAGGAGAGATACTTGCTCAGTTAGCCGCGGTTTCCGTATTAATCATACGCCGCCGGTCCTTTCCATTCCGTGCGCAGCGGCCCCGCGTGCTCCCGACTTGCGATAACGATTATCGATGCCTCACGTTCGAAATATTCACGATCCACGTGTCGCCGCCTCCGCCCCGCGCCGCCGACAGGCCTCGCCACCGCCGCCGCCGTCGCCGTCGCCGTCGATAGCGGCGATCGCCGATAGCGAGCGTTAATTCAGGCCGAATTGTCGATATCGTGCTGCGCGGAAAATCGCATTTTCCATCGCCGGCGAAAATAACTCACCGGGAGGGCGGAAGCGGGGGGCCATGAGAGCGGGGCTGCAGCGTTTTCATCGTGAGCGGACGGGACTAGACGCCGACGACGACGACGATGACGCTTCCTGCCGCAGCGTCTGACATTTACCACCGCGACGTTAACACATCGACACACGCCGTGATTGGAATGGCCGGTAAATACCGTCGCGCCAAAGACACTCCGTCTTTTTCGGTCATTACACGGCGCGCCTTTATTTATGGACGTCGCTGTCAGAAGCCGCGGGAGAGCGCGGTTGAACTTTTCGAAATGCTAATAACGGACTCGCGCGCGCCGGCATCGATATTTTACTTTCCGCATCGCGAAACATGCGAGCGCGGGAACGATTGAGTCGTTTGTTCGGCGAGTCGCTTGCGTTCGCTTCGCAACGCGGCGTCCCGTCGAGCCGCGTTTTCGCGAGGGAAATTCCCTGCCAAGGACCAGGTCGCACCGGTGTCACTTTCGAAGCGGCGAGCCGCCCGAGAATCGCGCTCTGGTTCCTTTTTTTTTCCTTCTTTCTTTCTTTCTTTTCTTCTCCCGCGGAAATGAATAATTTATCGCGCGCCGGCTATCTCCTCTCGCGGTAGGACTTGATCTACATTAAACGCGGTCATTTACTTCGCTGGGAGAACCGTTAAGAGAAAGAAGAACCCGCACGATCCCGAAGAGCACGCGTATGTACACTTCGGTAACGCGCGCGCGCGCGCGCGCGTCGCTCCAATGACGTCTAACGCTATTCGACTTGCTGCTTCTTCAAGCTGTGCTCTACATGGTCCGCGTTTGCGAGAAATCGCCGTTGAGGCGAGCGGTAGGAAGAAGAGGGCGACTTTTTGGAGAAGTCTTGCCCCGACGTGGTCTCCTTTGCGTGCTTTTCTTTCACCTTCGTGTCGATATTAGATAGAAACGGTATTAGAGATCAGGTAGAAACTTAGATTTCCTACGTATAAAGTCACCTCTTTTCTTTCTCTTTATCTCGATATTACAATCGTGATATTAGAAACTAGATATTAAATAAAGTTTCCTTCGTTAAAAATTCCACTTTCTTTTCTTTCGTCTTTACAGCGATATTGCGATCGGTGTTAGAAGTCAGGTATTAGAAATTAGCTTTATCCAAAATGAGTTCTCCTTTTCTTTCATCTTTACATTGCCATTAGGAGTGAAGTGGTATTGCTTCCCCCGGACAAAGCTGCGCTTGCCTTTCTTTGGTCTTTGCGTCGGCGTTAGGATTGGTATTGTAAGCGAACGTACCTTGTTGGTATTAGCAATTAGAAGCGCGGACCGAGATACGCGATTCCGCGAGGTTTTTACTCGGAACACGTCATGAAGTAGCAACTGGTGCTGCCGTTATCGCGAAAAGCAGCAGGCGCGAAAACCAAGTCCGCCGCCGAGTGGCCGCGCGTTACTCGAGGCGACGACACGCGAACGATCGGGAAGTCGATTCTCGTATTTGCACGTTTTATTCACGCTGCGGACATAATCCCGGCGTGCCTGCATAACGGTAAAAACAGATCGGCGTGCATTCACTTTTCCCTGCTGTACTACGCACACATACTCGCACACACGCGGCGCATTATCCAGTCGCGTACACATATGAGGCACGCACGTTTGCAACACGCCTTTTAAGGACATACGCGTTCGACGTGAGTTCGGTACCACCCAGGAACGAGCCGAAAACGCGTCTGAAGAAACGGTGCGCTTGAATGTCCTCTTCCACCCACGGGAGCCCTTCGGCCCTAGGAAGCGAATGTTACGTTTGCAACCTGCGAAAGGACTCTCTCCGCGTATAACGCAGAAACAAACCGTGTTCTGTCTTGTTGGAAAAAATTGAAAAATCCGGAAAAACATAAAAAAGAAATTATTATTTGTAGAAATATATTTTTGAAGAGCCACGGGAGCCCTTCGGCTCTAGGAAGCGAATGTTACGTTTGCAACCCGCGAAAGGACTCTCTCCGCGTATAACGCAGAGACAAACCGTGTCCTGTCTTGTTGAAAAAAAAATTGAAAAATCCGAAAAAACAAAAAAGAAATTACAATTTGTAGAAATACATTTTTGAAGAATATTTTTACAACGTTGAACATTGAAGGCACAATCTGGACTCCGTCTAGTTGAAATCCGAACGTCCTATCCTCCAGCATTTCCGGATCATACGGTACACTCCTACTTGGCGGCTCCTCGCTTATCCTTGGACAATAAACGCAACACGTTGAATTCTCGTTGAATTCGCTCTTGTTTGTTCCTGATCCTTGTTGGCCCCGCTGTCAAGCGCGACAGTTAGTTGTTCAAAGGCAACCGAGAGACAGATGTGCGATGTTCTGAGAAATTTCTGAGGAAACACTCGCCTCCCTAAATTGCCCCGACGAACGACGACGCGTTCGGCACGCGGGCGCGCAGCATCGGCCAAGTGGCGTCTATTAAGATTAGAAACTGGGTTAACGTTGCTCCCTAGGATGAGCCGCTACTTAAGTGAAAGCCCTAACGGCTGAAGTTAATTCATCTCGCGTTGCGCAAACGTGTCGCTAATTTCTCCACTCGACCACTTAAACAACTCGCTAATGCGCGCGCACACATGAACGACGACTAATTTCATCCCTCCTATTTGTGCTCGCAGACTGAACCGATGCATCTAAGGAGCAGGTGACGGGCGGAATTCAGACGAGCGTCCCTGAGATACTTCGAACGCACTCCGTGAAGAAGCCTGATCGCGGCAACACGAGAAAGATGCCGAGCCAACGACGAAGACATTCTCGCTGGAGAATACTGCTGGTGCTGCTGGTGTTCGTCGGACTGATCCGTCACAGCGAACTCACGTCTGCCGGCATACCCGAGTCGTCGTCGTTGACCTCAGCGCCCGTCGCCAGGAAGAAATCCCAGGACTTCAGCTCTCTGGGTGACTTCTCCTGGCAAGCGTGGTTCATGGTGGACACGCAGGCCGGCGCCCAGCCTGGCGCGGACTCCGCGACTCTGCTGCGGAGGATCACGCCGAAGAGCGTCTTCATCGCACCTGCTCTGCCAGCGTGCGCCGAAGGTTACGAGGAAGACGCGATGGACAGGTGCGTGAAGCACGTGGACATAGACCAGAACGCGCATTTCAGCTTCCTCCTGCAACGTCTCAACACAATGTACGCTAATCGGAAGAGCAGCCCGCAGAACAAGCAGCCGACCGGTCCTCTGCAGGTGAACATCCCGCTGATGGCCAGCGTCAATTCCGAACCGAAGAAGCCCGAGGCCGTGGAAACGCTGTTGATAAACGACCCTCTCGCGGCGGTGATGGGCGAGGTTGACATAGCGGACGACAAGAAGACAAAGCACGAGGCGGTAGCAACCGCGTACGAGGTGAAGAACGAGACGACGTTGGGCGACAAGGAGAAGAAGCAGAACACGTCTTTTCACGAGAGTTCCAGTCTAGGCAACATCGAACAGGTTGAGCGTAAGCCCGACGCGGCGGTACCAGTGGCTGAATTTGCCGAAGAAACCAACGACACCAGCTTCTTGGGGGTGGTGGACTACAAGATCCCGGCGGACTTGAAGATCTTGTTGAACGTATCGGGCGCGAAGGGATCCAACGCGAGCGATACCGCCAGCGAAGATGCTCCGACTACGGACAAGCGCGTCAACCCCACCGAGATGTCGCCCTTGATGCTACTGTTGTCTACGCTAATACCGAGCACGACTCCTGAGCCGAAAACAGACGACCTGCCGTCGACGGAGAACAACACCGTCAACCACACGATTGGACTAACGTCCAACTATACTTCACATGTCCCTGATACGAAGGAGGAAATCGCCGAGGACAACAAGTCAGGTTCCTATGAGCTTCCAGCAGCGTGGTCATCGGAAGCCGATGACAAGAGTCGAGACAACGAGACGCGCGCAGAGGATCAGCCGAAGATACTACCCGAAGGTCCCAGGCTGGACGAGTTGCACGAGGCCGACTTCATCTACGACGACGAGGCGGAAGACGACGAGTACGTGTACAGCACGGACACGCCAGACGAGGAGTCCACCGAGACAGAAGAGATCCTGAAGCACGGCGAGGCCGGCATGACGATCCCCACGCGAAGCCCCGATCGAGCGTATCGTGAGCATCAGCGACTGCGGCTGCAGAATCAAACCGGGGACCGGAAGAAGACGGCCGGCCCACGCGACCAGGTCGTGATCCGCTTCAACGACTCCACGCCCACTGACAAGGACGAGGCGGGCAGCAACATCTCCAGCGAGGTCAGCATCGACGGTGACCTGATTCTGGAGACGACTCTGTTGGACGTGAACACCGAGAGGTTACTGGCCACCAGTACCCAGTCGTCGGACGCGAGCGACCAAATCACGACGAAGAGCAATGACGGCGATGACCCCAGGCAACAATATGACCAAGATCAGCACACCATCGCGCCAGAGCTCGTGCTTTCGTCCAAAGACGGCAACCAGGTGGGCGCACACTCAGAGGACGACAGGCAAGACGCAACGCTGGAATCCGCCCTGTTCTCGTCAGAATCGTTGTTGTACGACCCTCCCGAAGAAGACCATATAACCGAGATCCACGCGATCGACGAGGACCGGCTGGACGTGGCGGAGGAGAGCACAGCGAAGGTCGACTCCAAGGAGCTCGGCACGACGCCGCGAAACGCCTACTCGGACAGCTCGGTGCGATTCCCAATAAACCACGAGCTGGTCGAAGGTCGTGTGAGGTTCCCCGATGCTGTGAGGCAGCAGCAGCAGCAGCAGACTTACGTGAGATTCCCCGGCAGTGAAGCCAACAGCATACACAGCGCGAACTACAAGCATCAACACACGCATGAGACGCCGGGCGACGGCGCCTACGGCGGCAGCAGCACGAAGAGCAGCGTGCCCACACGCCAGAAACCAGTTTACCATCTGACGGCGCCGAGCTGGAAGCCGGACCGGCAGCAGGACGAGCGCGAGCCGGCGGCCGCCCAGAGGCAGAAGCAGGCCTTGCCGCCGCTGCTTCGTCTCTGGAGCAAGATGCCGCTGATCAGGGACCCCTCTCTTCCCTCTATCTTCCCCATCGATCAGTACCAGACGAATCGCTCGGAGGACGACGATTCGCTCGAGGGGGGACCATCGGCCGAACATCGCCGCCGGAGCTCTTCGCTGTCGAGGAGCCAGCGCGTCGACAAGGCGGCCGCGCGGGTACACCGAAGAACGTCAATTAGCGGCTAAGCGCAGCCCAGCCTGGACACTGACTCTTCGCGTCTTCTACGTCGCTTTGCTCGGGAAGGTCCGGTGACCGTTCGGAACTGTGTGCCAAATGAATGCGGGGAGAGAGAGGGGCGGAGAGAAAGGGAGAGAGGAGAGTTTCGGCAGGGTGAATCTCGAAAGGACGAAGGGACCGAGAGGACGCTCCTGCGCGGCGACTCGGCCAGACGGGAGACGCGGCTTCCTCGAGCGCGCCGATTTTTTCGACGGGAACCGCGTGAATCGGTGCTACGCGCGTAATCGCGTAGTATTGCGTGTCTAGCGAGCGCGTTGCGTATCGCCTGGAAATCACGACAATCTCCGAGGGAGCGAGCGCGGAACGGTACCCTTCCTGGAATTGTCGGCCAAGCGCTTACAGGCCAGAAGGAGCGTGCTAACGGGGACGTTTTAATAGCAACGGTCACGTCTTGCAAGAATCGGTCATATCGAGACGCGAATCCAGAATGAAATCTCTCTATATATCTCTCTCTCTCTCTCTCTTTCTCTCTGTCCCTCTCCCCCTCTCTCTCTTCGCTTCCCTCCGACGAGTCTCAGTATCCGTTCCAGTGCTGCCGTTTCCGGCTGTCTCCCCCTCGCGTAGGAACGCACCCCGATAACCGTGCGATCGATAGTGCTAAGCGTGTTAAACGAGGAGAAAGTAAGAGGAAAGCGGCGGAAAGAGATTTGCGCAATAAAGTTGACGATGACGATGTCGACGTCGACGACGAAATTCGCGGCGGAAAGATCGATTCTCTACGGAAGCCTCGACGAGAGTTACCTCGCATTTCAACAAAGGTGCTGATCAGTCGCCATCGAGCATCGGGGTGTCCGGTCGTGTCGAGCGACAGGAAGACACGGAAATGTGCGAATTTCGACGCACATCGAAGCGTCGGAACGGCGAGGTCGGCCTCGAAGAGCGCGTCGAGGCTTCGCTCGCGTCGCGAGTCTCATTAACCGAGCTGACACTTACGAAACGAAGCGAGCGAAACGCAGAGGTGGTAACGTCTCTTACGGTCGTAACGGTATGCGCTGAAGTAGATTCAAAGTGACACTGCTCAGCAAGAAGGAGAGAAGGAACGATCGGATTTTCCTCGAGTATTCTCGCGAGTAAGTTTTCACGTGTAAAACCGAGATCGGCAACGATCTCCCCAGATCCTCGTCGCACATTCGACTCCGCAAAACGCGGCTTCCAAGCTCCACAGTTTTATCTCGTCGACTGCCAAATGTTATATTTTGCACCACTTCTTAATAAAAATTCTACCCGATTCATCGTACTTTGCTATCACACGGTCATTAACACGCCATTAATACGTCATTAATAATCTAATGCCGACCTATCATTATATTCTCTAATAAAGTAAAAAGAAAAAAAAAGAAATGCGTTTACAATATACGACGAAACAATCGCATTCAAGGTGTGCGATAAGAGTGTGGAAAATAATAATAATAATAATAATAATAACAATAATAATAATAACAATAAAAGTCTCGCGTGCGAGGAGTATGATAATCAGCGGTCAATTCCATCGCGCGTCAAAAAGAAGTCATTAATTCCGTTAAGTTTCGCGGACGGGAGGCGGAGAGGGAGGAGGAGGAGGAGGAGGGATTGAGGAGACGCGAGTTCTCAGCCTATTGTTGAATGCGCACTCGGCTCTCAATGCGGCTCGCGTGCTTGTTTATCAGCGCGGTTCGGGACACGCAGAATGAGAGAACTCAACTTCCGGGAACTGATGGAGAGAACAAGTTCTCTCCGCGTCGGGCGACGAGAAAGAAAACAGGTGTCCGAGCCGCATCGAAAGCAAGTGCGCCGCGCGGATGAAATTGAGAACGCGCGTCCGCGCTTATTGAGCGCGCGAGCGTTAACGCTAGTTTCGAGATAACGATGTATGAGCGGCGTTTACGAGCTCGCGAGCGATATGCCGAGCTACTTCTACATGGAGGTGTTATCGCAGCAGACTGATTTCTTTAGCGTTATTATAGAGTAGTAAGTCACGATTTCCGGTCGTACGAAAAATCCCGAGAGAGTTCGTGTCGCCTTGCTATCGGCGGCGACGGGGACTTGCGCACCGAGAGAGAGAGAGAGAGAGAGAGAGAGAGAGAGAGAGAGAACACGTCCGAAAAAAGGAGCGAACGTTTCTTCGGCGCTGATAACGTGCTCGCTCAAACCCGAAATCTCTCACTTGAACAAATTCTTTTATCGACGTAAATAATCGCCAGGATATAGCAATTGTGAAAAATCGAAGAAAAGCAAATTTGTTTCTCGGCACAAAAACACACATGTTCTGACAGAAAAACGGGCACGTTAGTAGCCCGCTGAATAGAAACGTTCGTCTCCCAGAACTGTTTTCTCCCGTTGCGCACGTAATCGCAACAACGTCAGCTTCCGCGCGAGGAGTCACCGCGTCGAGGACTCGCGGGACGCGAGAGAGATGCGAAAGAGCAGCTTCGGCTGCACGCACGCACGCACGCACGCACGCACGCACGCGTCCCGGTCGCGACGGCAGGAGACACGAGGTGTCCGAGGAAAGGACTCAAAATTGACTCGCCAACTAACGCGCAACTTCGACGTCTTGGACTCTTCTCGCGCCGCGGATAGACACTTGCATTACGTAGCCCGCGACACAGCGTAGTTTAAGTGTTTTTCGGTGTGAACTAATCGATGGTTGTTTCATGTCTCGAAGCCCCGAAGACGGAACTCGAGCTAGCCGTATCGAAATCGCTAATCCTCGAGAGTCGAAAAGTCTCGACGACCCCGCGGCCGCCATTCGCTCGTCCTCTTCACCGATCCGTTCACATGAGACGACCGCACTCCGGTGGTAACGTCTGTTCGACACCGACGCGCTGCTGTAACGACAGTTTCGTGGACACGGCAGAACCGTGTCCACGACACTCATTGAATTTTGCATCGATTGCCCTTCGATTACTGAGAATCAATCAAGGCAACGAGAGCCGCGCAAGGACGTTGGCAGCGAATGATCTCTCCTCACGAGAGAATAAACAATACATACGAGGACATTGCCCACCTCTTAAAGAAAAAGAAAAAGGAATGTATCGGAATTAAATTTTGGGACAATTTCTCGGAAAATTATAATCTGGAAAAAAGTCGTAAAGTTACAATTTTCCGAGGTACAATTTTATCGAAATGTTAGAATTGTCTCGCACAGCTGGAAGCGTCGATATCTGTTCACTCGAGTGCAGCAAAAATGCACTTGTGTGCGTATGCGCTGTTTGCGGAGTGATAGCCGCTAGCCGGAACAATTGTACACTTCGGGAAAATTGCATTTCGGGCTATCGTCTCGATGTTGAGATTTTAGCGTTATGACTTTTCGGGAGAAATTGTCCCGATTGATCGTCGTCTTGATCGATTCTCGATTCTCGATTCTCGATGACCGATGCTCAGTGATTCCCGTCGATTCTCCCGGCGAGGCCAGCACGTGCAACGAGCGGCGAAAGTCTTGATCCTTGGTGGCACATCGGATGTCACCCCCTGCACCGCGGCGGGCATCGAAGCGTTTCGAAATGTCCACCCCCCCTGTTTTCGATTTTGTTACACTGCGCGACACAACGAAGCGGAAAGTTATACGATAATTGACACTGTGCGGCCAGTAACTCTACTGCTCTACGTGCGTTTCTCAATGTGGTGTGTAATGTCTCTCGTATACTGAATGTTGATTCGTGTACATATTAATTTTATTACGGAGAATTGTATATATACATAGCATATGAAACATAAGCATATAATATATGAGGAGAGTGTAAGCGTTAACACACACAACAGCGTCGCGATGCGTATTAATCATGTGACTGTATCAAATCTCATTGTATTATTTATAGCGAAATATATCGATGTATATTGCATCTTTGTCGTGTTGTGCAAGGCCGTCTGTATTAGATAACCGAGTGGGAGGACTTATATAAAAGATGCGCACGATAATACCAAAATATCTCGTCATCTCATTTTTCATTTATTTCAAACGCAACCCGCCCGCTTTGTGTACACGTGTCTCCCCTCTGTATAACGACTCTATTGTAACAATTATATTGTATTATAAAAACAAAAGGAAAAACAAGGTCGCGCTGCCAGCACGAAGAAACGTCGCTTCTACTCGCATCATCTCGTCTTGAGGCCTTTGAAGTCTCTGGCGAGGAAAAACATCTCTGTCGACTCATCCCTCGTGGCGTTCGGCCTGACTATCCTCACCCTGTTGTAGAACCTCAGCATGTCCTGCTCCAACTGCTGCGTCTTTCTGCCGTCCCATATCTTCACGACGAACGTACCGTCCGGCTTGTTCATTTGCAGGGCAAATTTCATCGCGGAGTACGCGAGCATTATTATATTGTCGTGATCGATCTCCCTCACACCGCTGGCGTTGGGCGCCATGTCGGACAGGACCACGTCCGCCTTGTCGTCCTGCATCGTCTTACGCAGTTCTTCCTGCGTGCTGGCGCTTGTAAAGTCCATGCCGCTCAGTACGACCGCGCCTTCGACCGGGTAAAACGGAAGCTTGTCGACGGCGAACACCTTGCCGACAGAGCCGTCCTTCTTGCCCGAGGCGTTGATCGCGTTGACGGCGACCTCGGTCCAGCTACCCGGCGCAGCCCCGCAATCCACGACCACCTGGCCCGGCTTGAAGATATTGAACCTCTCTTGGATCTCCAGTAGTTTGAACGCGCTTCTGCATCTGTAACGCTCCTGCTTCGCCTTCTCCACGTAAGGATCGCGCAGCTGCCTCACCAGCCATTGCTGCGAGCTGTGCTTCTTGTGCTTCAAGTTTCGCGGAGTCTCCTTCAGCAGGGTACAAGCGACATGCACGCTTCTCGTCAGCGACACGTTCTGGCGGAGACTATTCATCCTGACTACGGCTGCACAACATAACCTAATCTAACAAACGCCACTCTCAAGGCTCGCCAGCAATCCCGGCTCGTCACAAAGCTTATTCGTCGGCAACTCTAAGCTACTCACGTGTCGTGCATCTCCGAGGAACGTGCACCATCCACACGAACGAATCGTAAGCCGTTAGGCGATGAAGGCGCGTGCGGCAAACCAACAGTCGCGGCAGCGGGACGGCGACTATGGACGCGGCCATGTTGGCCGAGCGCAGCGCGCTCTAGATGGCCGCTATCAGCTGATCCACGTCAAACGACTGACAGCTGCGACTTGCGACGAGTCGGTAAAGGAACCGACTCGGAACATCACGAATTCTTCGTGCAATCCTCAACTCGGGCAACGAGCCCGGATAATAGACGGCGATTAACGATGGGCGGGATATAACGGGCGAAACTCCCGGCGAGAACCATCAGTCTATTATCGGCTGCCGAGGGATCCGTTAACGCTCCGGTGAACGCGCAAGCGTAGCGCTCGTTCCCCACCATCCGGTGGACATGGTGCGCACACACACAACTCGACGCGTGAACTCACCGACTACCACGTTCGCAGCGCCGAGGCGAGGAAAGTGTCACGCAGCTTGCCGGCGAGGAGGATGTGACTGTGCTCGGCGAGACGCGCGAGAGATCGCTCGGATGTGCTGCCTCGCGAGAGAGTGATTCACGATGAATCTGACCGCGGGGAACCCGCACGGCAACGGCCTGCTGTACGCCGGCTTCAACCAGGACCAAGGTACACCTCTCCGTCGTGCGCGACCCTGCAGCCGCGCGCGCTGTCAGGTGCTGCCTCGTCTCCGTTTCCTAACCTAGCAGCTACTCGTGCGCATCGTTCACCTCCGGCTCGACATGCCCCGACGATGTGTTTCGCGTCTGCGGGAGAGAACTCGGACTCGTGGTTTTTGCTTCATTTTGTTTCTCTCTTTCTCTCTCTCTCTCTCTCTCTCTCTCTCTTTTCTCTGTCGTTCCTAACCTTCTTTCTGTGCGTCCATACCCGGAACGCCGACGTGTGATCGGCGTGATCTCGTTATTTCATTCACTTCGCGCGCTGCCTCACGAAGAACGTCGACGACCTTCGTCCGGCCTGTGTCATTCGGCGCATAGTTCATTGGAAATCGTGTCGATGTAATTTCCCCTTTCCCCCACTTGGCAGCTCTGTCCTGATTCTTGTATGAAATTGAGTAGAAGCACGAGTGAGACCAGCGCGTTCGTTGATCGCATCCCACGCGAAATACGCCGTACGCTCGTATGTCCAAAACAACTTCGCGTTGATATGATATCTGCACGCGTGGGTCCATCGTGGACAGTCGTGCGTCTCGTGTGCTTGCGCTTGTGTGTGCATGCGTGGTATCGCAAATCCCGTGACCAGTCTGATCGGCACTGCCAAGAAGAGGGATGTACCATGCGCGCACGCACACGCAGGCAGATAAGGATATCGCTCGTCTTTCTTTTCTCCACTTTGATTCACGTGTTATGAACTGACTCACTGACTGTTCGCGTGTGCTTTTTAGGATGCTTCGCTTGCGGCATGGAAAATGGCTTCAGGGTGTACAACTGTGATCCGTTGAAGGAGAAGGAGAGGCACGACTTCAGCGACGGTGGCCTCGGATACGTGGAGATGCTGTTCAGATGTAATTACCTGGCGCTGGTCGGCGGCGGTGCCAAGCCGCTGTATCCCACGAATAAAGGTTGGTGCTTGGACGGGGAATGTCAATGAGGTTGTGAATCCACTATTCCTGCGACGGAACTGTCTTGACAGCAGTTTTAGTCATAAAAGATAGCTTTACGTTCCGCAGAGTCTCTGAGGTCATCCAGAGCGATCTTTGTTTCACGCTTAAGATGAGTGGAACACGTTCCTAAAATTTGCTCACCCACCCTCAATCGCGCCCTGTATATTTCACGTACACGTACGCTACGGGAATCAAGATCGGTGCACCGACGTCAAGTATACTTTTCAATTGCAGTCATGATCTGGGATGACATCAAGAAGTCACCGGTGATCACCTTAGAATTTAACGCGCCCGTGAAAGGCGTCAAGTTACGGAGGGACAGGATAGTGGTAGTGTTGGAGGGCGTTATAAAAGTTTACACATTTACACAGAATCCCCAACAGTTGCACGTGTTTGAGACTAACCCGAACCCACGTGGATTGTGCGTTCTGTGCCCCAATAGTAATAACTCTCTACTTGCCTTCCCCGGACGGAAAAACGGTCACGTTCAAGGTAAGACTCGTCGAGCGAGTGCCAAAGTGAAGTAGTCGGCGCGTCGCGATGTCTCTAAACGCCCGCGTCCTCATGTTTCAGTCATAGATCTGGCCAACACCGAGAAGCAACCGTTGAACATAGAAGCGCACGAGACGCCTTTGTCCTGCATAGCTCTAAATTTGCAGGGCACCAGACTGGCCACCGCCTCCGAGAAGGGTACTTTGATCAGGGTGTTTGATACGCAAAACGGTAACATGATCAACGAGCTGAGGAGAGGAGCGAATCACGCGAATATCTATTGGTAAGCGCGAAAGTAGATACGAACAGAGTGCCAACCGGAAACGCAAATTCTAAAGCGACACTGACTCCAGCATAAACTTCAACCACGACTCCACGTGGCTGTGCGTCGCCAGCGACCACGGCACCGTGCACGTGTTCGCCGTCGAAGATCAAAAGCTGAATCGCCAGTCCAGCTTAGCGTCCGCCACTTTCCTACCAAAGTACTTCAGCTCGAGCTGGAGCTTCTGCAAGTTTCAAGTGCCGGGCGGGCCACAGTGCATGTGCGCCTTTGGTCAGGATAACAATAGCATCATAGGTGAGCAAAATTCCAAGCAATGGGATTACATCAGCGCCGTCTCTCTCTTTTTTTTTCTCTGCTTGATCGGACTTTCGGCTTGGTGCCGTGGTCTTGCTTCCGACGCTTCGTGAACATTCCAGGTCACTTTTTCAGAGAGAGAGAGAGAGAGAGAGAGAGAGAGAGAGAGAGAGAGAGAGAGAGAGAGAGAGAGAGAGAGAAAGAGAGAGAGAGAGAGAGAGAGAAGAACGACCTGAAAGTTTTGACATTCTTTTCGAAGTTCTCAAGTTTTAGGTCTGACCTCAATCTTAACACGTATTGTAAAAGATTAATTCCTCAATAAGACGCGCTTTGAACCAGGCGGTGCCTTCTTAAAGTTCTCAAGATATTTTAATTGAGTCGTTCGATAAGGTCGCATAAATTTTTCAGATGAACTCTCAAAGCCGACACTTTCATAGTCGGCATAATTTCACATTTCATGACCTACCATCATTTGATAAAGTTATCGATAAAAACATCGGCCTTGAATCGAGACCTTTCGCCGATCTCTCCACGACTGATCGAGCAATCTCGATATGTGACCAAAAGTAAATATAAGAACCGTAGAACGTCTCAGAATGACATTTTCTGTTGACGAGGCGTCGGGAACAGATCCACTATGGACGCGGCACTAACAACCCGGAAGTCAGATCGAGCATTTTTCACATACCTAAAGCTAAAAATCTCTCTCTCTCTCCCTTTCTCTTTCTCTCACGTTCACGATCCGCTTTTGTGTGCCCTTGTGCAGTGATATGCGCAGACGGTAGTTATTACAAGTTCGTATTCAACAACAAGGGCGAGTGCACGAGAGACCTTTACGCGCAGTTCCTCGAGCTGACCGACGAGAAAATGTGACTGGAGGACACGACGGCGGTGAACTAAGAGACCGCGCGCGCAGAAGACGACCTCTCGTGTTCCTCCGTTCTTTTCACCTGCGTCATCGGCCGCCGAGCGAAGATTGAGATCGCCAGGCGCAATGATACACGTGACCTTGATGTTCGGAGAAAGATAGAGAGAGAGAGAGAGAGAGAGAGAGAGGGAGAGAGAGAGAGAGGGGGGGCAAGGTCACTCGGCGAGATGTTCGTTACAGAGGAGAGATCGAAGATACGTCCGTTCCTTTTTGGCAGCGGGCGACACGACAGAGGACCAAACGCCAAGAGTTCTATTGATTGTTAGTGATATACCGATCGTTGATGTGTTGTGCGCGGCTTTTCGGCCTGCACGGGAGCGTGTGACCGACGAGGTCGGTGATCCGTTCCCTTGCTCGGAAACGCCGACGATGAGAGAGATTTAACGCGCGTCGAGCAGCGCGCGCTGGACGCTGGCGCGAGATGCGTCCGCGAGAGAATGCGCGAACCTGTTAAACGAGCCTACCTATTAGCGCTGACGCCTAGATCGAGACGGAGAGGAGCGAGTTTTTTTCAATGCAACCAACAAAAGCGGGAGGAATGTCCGCGGGTGACAGCTCATTAGCGCCGGGGAACGTCGCGGCTTACTTGTTGGCGCCGTGTGATACATTTTTTCTTACAATTTAGATAAGGACGCTGCGTAATATTCGTTGAAATCAAACGTTGGCCATAAATATCATCGCGACTCAGGATGAGCCGAGGGGCTGCGCTCTCGTTGTTTTCTTTTTCTTTTCTTGTCTTTTCGTTCTGTCGCTTGCGTGAAAAGCGTTGCAGATGCAAATCGTGTGTCCCTATTGATATTGCGTGTGTCTTAGTTACAAAGAAGAAAAAGAAGAGATGTCTTTCGTGTTGAACACGCCTCGCGCACGGCAAGCAGGAAAGACCTCGGTTGGTGCAACCGAATGCAACCCGGACGCGAGCTCGGTTGAGATAACATTGAGCCTCTCGTCTGGTCCTCGGAAAATTTAGTTGCACCAATGGAGTCGCTTTCCTTCGTGTAAAACAAAAAAAAAGGATCTAAAATCGATCGTACGTCTCGACGACTTGATCGTAGATTATCGTTACGAGTGCATAGCGTTTATCTCGGTTGTTGTCGACGAACGCGAGCTCGTTCGTTCGTTCGTCCGTTTCTTCCTGCCTTTCGTTAACCGAGTCGATAATGCGTGTCGCGTAAACTTACACACACACATGCATGCACACGCGCGCATATATACATATATATACTTATTGGAGTATTATAATTCTTTTTTTATTATTACGTTTTTTCCCCATATATTTAATATACATATACACAAGAGATGACTACACTTTATATCGGGATATTGCCGCAAATAACAAGGTTGTAATTTCACAAACGAGTCGAGGGAGAGAGGAGGGGGGGGTTGAGATACGAAATAAAATTACTTATTATACGCCACCCGCAACAGCCGATTTGTTCAGTTGTTGTTGAAAATCCCCGTCGCTCCGTTTCTCCGACGATTATCTATACGATTTACGGGAGCACTGCTGCCTGTGTATCGCGACTGATTGATTGATTGATTGATTGATTGATTGGTTAGTTGATTGATTGACTGATCAACGATCGTAAGGCGCGAATCTGCCGGGTTTCGTCAGTTTCGTCGTCCGTCAAGTTAAATTCAGTCTTGCGCGCGCTCGCACAGCGAGGTGAAACTAACGTCGTCGTCGTCGTCGTGATAATCCGACCCGCCGGGATTTCTCAGCCGACGTGTGCGTACGACAGATGATACACAATATTCTCAATTGACATCGAAGCGTAGTACTAGGAACCCGTGTGTGCGTCGTATCGAGATGAGATCATGACCGAGGCATGTCGTCGCAACGGCACAGAAGGTAAAGCGACGCTTAGCAACTTAACGCTAACGACGCGCGTGCGGGAAGAAACGTCTTGAGAACGTGAGACGCCCCCTCCTCCTGCTGCTGCAGGGTGTCTCTTGAGCTTCGTCAAGTATCTGTCTGTCGCGGCTCTGTTCGCGGTGAATTTCTCGTTATTTGCTCCGTTGAGTCGCGGTACAAGCCCGTGTCGCGCGCGACTTCGCAATCGTCTCGCGACCGGACCCCGTCCGATTTCCGCTTGCCACCGCAGCGAGCGAATTCTTCCTTGCTACCTCCGTTACGACAATATCTTTACACCTCGAAGGGCTTCTTCGCCGACATCGTCGGGATCAGCTTCGGCACCTCCATCGCCGGCACCGCGTATTTCTTCTTCACGCAGTGCACCTCGTGCATCAGACCCTTCTTCGTCTCCAGGCTCTTGTAAGTGCTGTATACCACGAACCAGATGTAGAAGTTCATGAGCACCACACAGAAGACGGCCACACCTGAGAATGCACCGTTCCTTGTCAACGTCAGGAAATATGCTACTTCTCACGTTGCGTAATCTCATAAATACATAAAATTTACAAATGCATGGAAATAAATGCATAAAGTATGCAAAAGAATACGCGGCGCGCAAGAGACTACCAGAGTGTTTGAGCGAATAATTCCCACAATGAAAAACCTATAAGAGCCAACGCAAGAACATTGCGCAGAAGAGACGGAACAAGTTGACAAATGCGTTGACATCTTTCCAAGCGGTATATTTTCATTCAAAAACAAATTAACGTTGCTAATTTGCAGCCTTTGCTCATCTTGCGCTGGCTCTTACGAGTTTGTCCCCCGAGTTTGTCAAGGCGAATTGAACCGAATATCACACACGGAACCTTCCTTACTTCTTCAATTGTTCCGCTTGAAATTCGCGTCTGTAACGCGTGAAAAGAAATCGCGGAGATTCGCTCGTGCGATTTTGCGTGCGGACTTACGCTCGTAAAAACTCGCTCTTCCGCCCAAGATAGCGATGAAGGGGCAATTCTCGCCCACCAAGAACAGCGAGATCACTAAGGACGATATGATAATCATCATGACCACCATCCAAGGTGTCATGCAGTAACGATTATTCTGAAAAGAGAACACAGGAGATTTATAGCTGACGAAGCTGCCACGACCGTCTGGCTGTTCGCTCCGCTCGACGACTCGAAAGTTACCGTCAGAGTCCCGTACAGGAGCATGATCGTGCTGATGAAGTGGATTATCGCCATGACGAGGCCGCAGTACATCGAATATACCGTTTCTGCAAATATAAAAACCTGTAAATCTTGTAGGCAACGATAATTCCACAACAATTAACGAGGGGGATGGGATGACGATCGCTATTATCTCTTTTCTCTTTTTCCTCTCTTTCTTTTCTGTCGTGCGATGAGAGAGAGAGAGAGAGAGAGAGAGAGAGAGAGAGAGAGAGAGAGACAGAGAGAACTCTTGGTGCTGAGTAAATATATTTCTGAGAATAACCGGTTGCGTTGTGATGCGCGAGGTCCATCTTCTTGGTGTTGAGGTGATTCGACCATATCTCCTCCAGAGCCTCCCTCACGAGGGCGTCTTCGGTGTCCCGCACCACCATCTCTTGGATCCACATCGCGTGCGCTATCGCCAGGACGAAGAATATCAGGGTGAATCCGGTGATGAACTGCGTTAATTAAAAATTCCCCGCGATTATTCTCAACGAATTGCGGATTTTAAGCGCGCGCGCGCGCGCGCTTACCAGCTGAAGTATCGCGATCAGCACCGTTCCCTGCTTCAGGTCGAAGAAGTGCAAAAAGTTGTTCAACAATACGATCTTCATGCTGCCCCTTGCGGATCAACGCGCGTCGGTTCTCTCTAATTCCTCGAGCGCTCCTAGAAACATCAGTGTCATTGTGCATGCAAGTCACCTATTTATAGGACGTTCTTCTTATCGCGTTTTCTTCTTATCGTGTCAGCTTCGTGCTAAGCGACGACACTCGACATTTCGCGTCGGCGCCGACGACGGGGAAAGGAAGAACAGGCGGGTGTGCGAAAGTAGGTGAAGCACGTCGTCGTCGGCTGCTTACCTCGCAGGTGTGCTCCGAATGTCGGCGAATGGCCGGACGGTCGCGCTTCGCGATGGGAATCAATAACTTTCGCTGCCTGCCGCCGCAAAAACGAAACATGCGACGACGGGCCGCCGATGCCGCGACGCGCTGCACCGTCTTCGTCGCTCGGCAAAGGTGCGCCGAGATTCACGCGCGCGCGCGCGCTCTCTCTCTCTCTCTCTCTCTCTCTCTCTCTCGCTCGTCGTGTCGTCGCGAAAAAATGCGCGAGTAATGCGTCTATCTGCTCGGTGGTGACGGCGAGGCGCCCGCGATGCGCAAAACGCGAGGGTGACTGCGATCGACACCCTTGCCAGCAGCGGACCGCTGCGAGACGAGGCTCGACACGCAGGCGCGTCGCGGGTTATCGTATCCCTCGAGCCGCGTCTGCTCCGAGTCGCCCGACGTTTGTTTGTACGCATCGTCGATGTCGATCAAGCCCGCGATTGGGGTTGGTCAGCGTTGTTCTGCTACTCTGCTGCTGTTGAATGTCACTGTGGCGGCAATTACGTCGAATTATCAGGACGAGTCAATGCCGACAACAAATGCTTCTGCCTCGTTCGCCCCTCCTCCCCCCCACCCCTCGTTTCTCCGCGCGAGCGATTAATTAAATAGAAATTATCCGAGCGTGCTCAACCCGAGACCTAGTTATCGCGAGGACAGTGACACTTCGTGACTGCGCCCTCGAGAGACGAGAGCGCACGTATTCAAGGTAAAAAGAGGCCTGATGGCGAACATGAAGAGGATTTTTTGCTTTGCGCTCATCTTGATTCGGCGCGAATCGCGCGGAGCGGTCGCGTATGCGCGGCAAGTGAGATCGCCAAACACGACTAATTAACTGATATCATCCCCTCTTTGAGGATTGTGAAGTCGCATTTATTCGTTTCTAAAGTCACGCAGAGCCAAGAAAATCGAATGCTGCTTCGTGAATATTAACGCATGTACAATGCACGAGTAAACACTGAAAAATATTTTTCGCGGAATGAATTCCGCACTGAAAAATATTTTTCGCAGAATGAATTTCGCACTGAAAAAATATTTCTCGCAAAATGAATTTTGTACTGAAAAGTATTTTCGCAAAAGTTCCACTTTCTCGTCAGTAGCGTGCGAGACAAAAGATCCCACGTTCTCACAATTTCCACATTTGGCGTGATCGCTGAAATGGTCAAATTCGCGCGATCGCTACTTCGTCTCGCGAACCGCCGTCGAGACTATTTACGGTACACGCCTACTCGTAATAAGATAGACCGCGATGTCGAATTCTGATTTGAAAGTTGGTTCGATCGAATTGAGTCATCTTTCCAAGTAGTCATAGAAACGCGACGCGCCTCGTTACGACGTTAGATTAGCCGAAGGCCGAGGGTGGTGCGTGATTGTCGCTTCGTTGCGAGTCGCAGCTCGTTCATGACAGTCCACTCGGCAGTCGGCGCGATCCTCGCGAGACCGGTAGCGTCTTCGGCGAAGACTAATGGATCGAAGGTACCAGAAGGTCGGTCTGGGGGTGGGGGCGATTCACAACCCCCCGAGAGCGAAGTACAGCGACGACACGCGGAAGCTAATTAAACGTAAGTGAGTCGTAAGTAACTAAGCCCGGTCTGAACGTCACACAGAACGTTCCGTCGACACGTTCGACGGAAGGTCCAAGCCCTTCTGACTTTTAACGTCTGTCAATTTCAAACGTTAGTGTTGATGGAGGAGTCTAAGTTAACAATGTTGCAAAAGAAAACGATCCAGGAGGCCGTGGACAAAGGCGAGTCTCTACCGCCGTCCATCGATCGTAGAAAGACCAAGGCCGGTGACGACATAACGACCGAACACAGTCGTGTAAATATCGTGACGCCGCAGAGAAGCGCGGTGAGGAGAACAAAGAACAAAGTGACAGTATGGCTTTCCCGACAGGTTAAAGCGCCGAACGCCTGGAGAAGACGCTCGCAGGACGCGATCGTCAGCAGCGGCGCTTACGAGAGGGAGCAGTACCGGAGGACAGCGCCCTTACGTAAAAACGATTCTTTGCACATCGATTATATATTATATCATATATTATATTATATATTATATTATTATTATATTATATATTATTATTTATTATATATTATTATATTATATATTATTATATTATATCTTCGCTTTTCCAAACAGCCAACAAGGACAAGCAGAAGCGCCACTTTGCCTGTATGATGGCTTTCGGCAAGGATATGCCGGAGACTCCTCACGGTCCCAAGATCCTTCATCGGGCCAGACGGGAGGTACAGATGATGCCCGAGAACGTGGATCCGCTGGATGAGCGTAAGTCCCAGTGGAGCGAGAGAGAAGAAAATCGCGCGGCAAATTCGAAGCCTCCCGGCGAAAGTGTCGTCTCATTTTTGCGCAGTGATGGCAGCGATCCGAGAGAGAGTGGAGTTCTTGAAGGACATGGAGGGCCTCGGGATGGAGAAACAGTACCGGCCGATAATACAGCAGGAGATAGCGCAGAAGATACGGCTGATCGAGAAGATGAGCAAGCTGATGCCCGAGGAGACGCGGCAGAAGATGGCGGAATTCAAGTACGAGAGACCGCCGCCGAAGCCATTCCCCATGGGGGACCTGGACGATTGATCTCCGCGGTGTCGACCCGGAGGGTTGATCATTTTCAGCGGCAGTGTTGTAGAATAGGCGCGGCTTCTTCATCTTCAGCCGTTCGACAAGCCGCGAGTGAATATTTCAACGACGGGGACGCAAATCGCAGCCCGAGTGTGCCAGATAAAACAAACATGACACCTCCTAGAAACGTGAAACGTCTCGCTCCTTCTCTCCTGTCATTTCCCAAATTAGAGAGGAATCTGTCTACGTGCAATATTCATCTCTTCATGTTTGTACACGCAGTTTGTACGGGGCACAAATAAACGCAAACTCTCGACCTCCGCAGCGATTACTTTCCGATCAACGAGACGCGTAACCTTCGAACCTTGGATTTCTTGGATCTCTGGAGTTCTTTTCCGAGGAACTTCCCGCGCCAAATTTCGACCGTACAGTTCCCTTCTGGGTCCTGGAAGTGCATATTAATTCTTCGAAAGAGGACAGGCCTCTCGCGGTACGCCGAGCCATCTCGTAAACTCGGCGCCGCGTCCGTTAGTTCGTGCGGCTCCCGGGGGCGGCGCGACGGTCGCGCGCGAACTCGCGTCCCAGTTTGTTCCAGCGTCATCCTATCGTCAGTCTTGCGCTGTGCAGCGCTGGTGAAGGTTGTATGCGGTTGTGGTCCCGTTTGCCGTCACCCCTCGTCGTCGTCGTTGTGGTGACCGCGAGTGAGAAAGTGGTCCGTCGACGTGTCGCGACGTGCATAAACTTCGCTCGCCCGTGATCGAACTGTGCGCGGGTGCGCGCAGACGGCTGCCACGTTTCAAAGTGGCGTTTACGCGCGCGCGACCGGAACCGGAGTCTAACCTCAAAGCAAGCGTGGCCGCTGCCGCCCGCGCCGTTTGAGGAGTCTGCCGAGACGCGTTCTCGCCGGGGCCGCCGATGATCCACGGATGATCCAACATGGCGTCGACCGATCTGTCGTTCGGTAAATGATGAGCCTGCGAGTTCCCGTAACAGTCCGCGACAAGGTCTCCCGCGAGGTCAACCGGTTTGCGAGAGAGCGTCGGCGAGCTGTCACCGCGCGTCTCGCCGGCGCGACGCCGCTCGAAAATGCCCGCCGCCTCCCGGATGTTACACGCTCTTTTCTTATCAGCCTAATCAGAATATGGGGCAGATCGGCCGGATATCCCGATCGGCGTTTGCCCGACCTTCGTCGTCGAACGAGTTTCCCCGCGAGATAGGCTCAGAGGAGCCTCCCTCCCCCGCCCGCGGCTTTTCTTCTCCTTTTTTTCTCTCTTCTCTCGCAGATTCGCACGTCGCGCTGGGCACGTTCATGCCGTCGCGTCGCGCTGGATAATCAGCTGATCTTCCGCTCGCGGACGGAATCGCGCATGTATGGCGCGATGGTACATCTCGACGGTGATAACGGTAACGACACGCGCGCGGCTGTCCTTTCGTCGTGATCCGCGAGTCGGGGAAAGGTAACCTGGCGGACAGCCTCGCCAGAGTCCGGAGTCGAACTTCCGCGTCGAAGGGAAGCGGAGCCGCTAAGCTTAGTATCAGCTGTTTATGCACGAGGGGTTTCGCAAGCCGCCGCGGAGATTTCGTCACGGCAAAAATCCGCTCGCTCGCCGTTCGCTTCTGCAACGTATGGATTTTCAACGTTGCAAAACACCGACGAGCGTGCGTAAATCGCCTCAGCGAGGTCTCGCGTGTCCGCGCTTTTCAGTCGAGTCCGCCGGTCTCCTCGTCAATTCCCGAAAAGGTCAAGAAACTCTCCGCGCGCGCGCGTGCAGCTCGAATGAAAAATTGCACGAGAAACTCGTCCCGAGAGCCAAACGCGAATCTCGCGCCAGGTACCTGAGTCGCCAGCATCTTAATTGACACATTCGCACGCTAATTCGAGATGACTAACAGCGTCGACGGTGACATCCCGGAGAGTCGGTTCTCTCTCTCTCTCTCTCGCGCGCGCGTGCGTGCGAAAGAAAAACGCGGAGAAAGTGAGTCGCGGGCTTCCTTTTTTCACAAGAGCTCGCTCGTTCGCGCAACAACACAGCCGAATGTATTCGCCGCGGTTTCGTCACGCGCGGTTTCGCGACGACTAGAGCCGCTCTCGAGAGGCCTCGCTCGCGACGGGAATCTGTCTCTCTGACGTGTCTTTCTGTCCCACACGAATGCCAGGCTCCATACCGGCGTTCTACAGAGAGGTCCACGAGAAGATCTGCTCGCCCACCAGCGGCAACGTGGAGCGCGAGGTGTTCAAGTCCCTGCTCGTCAAGTCGCAGCTGAGCAGCTCCGTCCTCAGTCAGGTACGAGACCATTTCCGAGTCCTTCCCTCCTCCCCTCCCCCGCGCGATAATTCCGTTTTCCCTTGTTTTTCTCTCATTTTTATTTCGCGCGCTTCAACGTGTGTGCTTTATTTACAGGGTTTCATTTGCGTCACCTTCGCATCTCGTTCCGCTTGTTTTTCTTTTGCTTCCTTTTGTGTCGCGCCAGCTTGCTCTTTGCTTTGTTATTACTTTATTTACTCTCCTGCGAAGCACTTGTGATCACATTCGCTGCGCACCGATTAGCCTGCGTTTTTGTGTCACACTGAACTGATTTTCACGTTACACGCTTTTTTCTGATAGAATACCGGGGATATAATAATAATAATAATATGATCTGCAAACTATGCAAATTATACAAGCCGTGCGGATTATAAATTATATATACCATGCGGCCTAGCGAGTCATTGTAACGCTCATCTCCCCGTCTCGCGGGTGAATCCGTCGAGAAAGGAGCAGAAGAAGCGAAGGTTGAATGGGATACGAAGCAGGCGTTCCGTTAAATTGTTACAAACAACTCCATTACGCCGTGCAGTAAACCCGATAGCGAGTTTCTAAGGCGGCAGGTGCGCTCTCGCTCGCGCGCGCGCGCGCGTTTTGTTTTCCAGCGCAACCTTTCCCAAGCGGAACCTGCGTGTCCCCGCGACCTATCGCGATCGCATACAAGGAGACGCCTTGCCGGGCCGATGAGTTTGTCCTTCTCCGCGTCCCGAAAAATCCGCTTTCCGCGGCGAAGTCTAAAATTGTTGAAATTGGCCGACGAGCGCGTTTCGCCAGCTCGCCTTTCGAGGATTTTCCTCGTGGCCGCTTGCCACGTCGTGTGTTCCCGAGATTACCGACGCACGCGAGAAAACTCGGCTAATCCGGCCATTCATTCAGCTTTCTAGCTGGAACAAATGACGAGCATAATTTGCGCGCGAGCGCACTTCGCGGCTCATTTTTCCGCGAGAAACGATAGCGCGACGGGAAAAGACGTCAGACGGAAATTAACGGTACCGTCGTTGCGGAAGCCGCGACGGACGCGTCGTTCGAAACTCGTTCAGCTTTGGCGACGCGCTTGCTTATTACGTCGAGCGACGACGTGGATCGTGACGACAGAGGCGCGCAGCGAATTATCGCTTGATTAGCGAATCCGAGAAGGACAATTTGGAAATTCGCGCTACCACCTCGGGCCGTTTGGCCGTCGTTCTCCGCCGCGTCTCTTGGCGATGATCGCGGATGGCACCGGCGGCGTTTACGCGCGAATTGCACCGAGAAGACGATTATCCCGACGGGACAATTCGCCGTGGAGCTTCGCGATGCCGCACACGCACATGCATTTTGTTTTGACGCCGTTTAGCGCCGTGACGCTCATTCGCGAGAAACCGCGAGATAACTGCACGTGTCATTCGCGACGATAATTGCGACGAGCTGATTGATGCTTCTGGGAAGAGTTCACGCGCGTCTTTATTACTTATCGGATCCGAGATTGCGGCATTGCAGCATGCGTGCATCCAGACGTTGTTACCAGCCCGCAGCGGAAAGGAAAGGCGGCGCACAGCTGCGCGGTGCACCTTGCGCGAGACAAAACACAAGTGTTGTCTCGATACAAAACAAGCAGACAGTCGGAAAGTGCGATTCGATTTTCTTCGAGAAATCTGCCTTCCTCGCATTTAGCGCGCGAAGAGAATTTTTCGTGGGAAATTTTTCGCGAGAACAATACTGCATAATTTTGCAATCGAGAAGCGTATCGACAATCCGCCTAAATTTATCACCTTTCTACCTCATATTAGTGAAAATCTTTAATCTTCCTAAATTTCATCCGTCATTAAAAAGCGCGATGAAATTCAGCAGAATTTATACGAAAAAAAGAAAAAAGAAAGAAAAAGAATTACATATAACAAAGATGCATAATATCGTCTCTGTGTGGAATACATGTACTCTGAAAATCGAATCGAATTCTTCCTGACTCGACACACAGCGATTGAGACACCTGCATGCTCAACAACATCCAGAAAAGCGGGAACGTGCGAGGCTCAAGGTAATACGACGGTTTTTGCTCTCGCTATGTTTTACTTCCACAGCAGTAACTGCTATCCCGGCCCGCCGGCTCGTTTTCCCGCACCTTCCCGCGTTATTATCGCGCGTGCGACTTTTTTCTCCTTTCCCCGTTGCGTTGATATTCGCGGCTCGACGGCGCTGTGAGACGAGTTCTCGATCTATTAGGGAGCTAATTTATTCATCGCTGGCGTTTTCTCGCGGGCACTGCTATCGCGCCGCCGCGCCGGCCGTCAATTTGCGCATTTTCGCGCGCGTGAAATCTTCATGAAAACAATTAAAGTGCTCTCTAGGCGCCGCGTCGTATCGGCAAAGCTTTATCGTCTCTAACAACACGCCCGTCGATGATAGCGCGCGCGCGCACGGACGCCCCTTCGTAATGGTGCAAGATTACGTGGCAGGGTCAACCGTACCGCCAGTTTATACTCTGTCTGTTGTGCGCGCGACAGCGTCATAAACTCGTCCCCGTTCGAATATATTTTCACCGAGTCGACCGACTCGCCACTGATCTCGTTTTCATTCGTTGTTGTACAATTATGATCTCTCCTCTTCTTCAATATTTTTGTATTCGGTAACCTAAGGTAAATGTCCCAGTAACCGGACACGGTTTAAGCGCAGGTCGTCACTTAAAATACAATATATAATATTAAGAATAGTTTTGATATAAATATATAATATTAAGAATAGTTTTAATATAAATACATAATATTAAGAATAGTTTTGATATAAATATTTCGAAATTATTTATTCGAAAAACTTAAAATTCCCTTGAATAGAGAAACATTATTTAAATCATTGTATATATCTATTGTTAGTGAAATATTTACATAAGTAATGAAGCGCAACGTAACAGTGTGACCGGATAGTTGAAATAGATTATGACCCAGTGTTCGGATATATTTGTCCCAGTGTCTGACCGCAATTAGAAAATTAGTGTGCGCTAACGGGAAACAATATAAATATAGATGCTATCTCTTAATGAATTTATTAACGATTGACCATTATTTTACCAAACCATGGATGCATATTTATTTAATTAATGTTTATTTTCACATAAAACTATCAAATTGGGTATATTTTTCTTCCAACTAATCGTCAAATATGGGAGTGTTTTTTACTATAATTATTCTCTCTCTCATTCATTATTGTTAAAATAAACAGTAAATATTTTTTTCACAGTGATCGGATAGTGGGACGTGTCCGGCCATTGGGACGTTTACCTTGTATGTTTCTCCTCTCGTCGCAGCTCTTAAAGACTGCTCTTAAATGATAATAAAGACACCAGTTATCAATCTACTTTTCCACTGGAAAATGCATACATGTCACATGCGGCATAAAATTCATACAAAGAATGGAAAGAAGAAAACGTGAAAGGGAGAGAGAGAGAGAGAGAGAGAGAGAGAGGAAGGGAGTCTTGCAAGTTATCACACGAATGACATCGCACGTCCTCGGAATAGGAGCGGAGCGGAAACGCGCGCGCGGCGTTCAATCCCGTGGACGCGTCGTGGCGAATGCCGAACGGCAAAGTCTGCCATCGATCTTACGTCACGAGCACGGACAGTCAAACGGGAACACGCGTCGATCATCTTTCGTGGCGTTAAACGCGCCTTCCGACGATAATTCGCGCAAATCTGCCGGGCGGCTCGAGGAACTCCGTTCGCGAGATGCTTTCGCGGAAAGATCGCGCGCGTCGCTCAGAAATGTCACGTCGCATCGTCGCGCAAATGTCCGAGTCGTTCATTGTACTAACAACACAATGAAAATAGCATTCCGCAGGGCCGTGCCGTGCCGAGGTATTTCGCCGTCGCGAGCGGAATGGCGTGTCTGCGTAACTGCCTCGGTTGTCTCGGGATTTACGGTGCGAATTTTTCGCCGCGTCTCGTGATCTCGGCTTGAACTCGCGCGCGGCTGTATCGATACCAATACATATTTGTGTACATATATACACATATATATTCGACTACTAAGGAGGACTACTAAGGAGGCTAAAAATAAGTATGCATATGTCGAGAAGCTCCGATGTTCTCTCGCGCGTCTCACCCGCGTGTCAGCGATCGCTCGAAGACGCGCGCAGTAATTGAAGGACAGCGAGCAAGTGAGAGTATTTTGCCGGCCGTTAAAAAATCGCGTTTGACAAAATTCTCCCGTCGTGTCGGCGAATTCGCGACGCAAGCTCGTGGGATCGTCAGAGTCCTGGCTCAAGTGCGGGCCTGCCATTGTGCGATTCCTCGCCCTATCGGCAGGCATTGGGGGTCACTATAAATAGAACGCCGCGGAGTGATAAACGTGTGCATGAAAAATTTGCACTATGAAACGTAGACAGCGCGAATTATCGCGCTCGCGGGTCGTTTCGCGCGTTCGTCGAGCGTTCAAGACTCAACGTTATTTTTTTCTTCCTGATCAACACCGCTCGCCAATTTACGCGATCAGCGCCAGTACGATCCGTCGCGAGCTCGCGATTGCCCATGTAATTCTAAATTAATTAATTAATAGCTAATAGGTGGAGCGGCTGAAATGATCCTTCCGTTGTTGTTTGTTTTCTTTTTTCTTTTTGGCCTTTTCATAGAACGTGGAGAAGAGAGGGCCGTCGTCCCTCCCGTTTCCGCGCTTTCGCAGAGCCTCGATGTCGTTCCACGGCTATGTAATTTCAGCCCGCTTCGATTAAGCGCGATAAATTAAACACGCGCCCGGCGATATCTACGACTCGAAGACGCGCCGAAGCAGTCGTTGGACAACAAGTGCAGCGCGCGCGACAGCGGGCGTTTTAACGTACGACACGCGGCTCGTCTTCCTGTTAGGTGAAATTGAAGGTTTGATTGCCATCTTCCGCATTGGCACGCAATGTACGGCACTTTTATGTATCTAAAAGCGGGCCCGTTTATACGCCGTTGAAATCGAGTTCCGCTCCATCCGTTAGTTTCCCGATTATTCTCAAATCGTTTCAACGAGTCGCAAACACGGGGAAAAAAAAGAGAGAAAACGTACGTTGCCTCGGTGCGTGTCGATCGACACCGAACGCGCGACTTCGCGTTCTCTTTGTCCGTGGAATTTCGCAAAGACCTTTGATCTTTGACACTTTTGATCAACGAGACGAGATATATTTCGAGCGTCCATTCTTGTTCTTAGGATTCTCGCGGATGGCCTTGTTTTTCGCGCGAGCGTCGACTTCCGCGGATTACACACCTCCGCCACGCAAACGAGAATTGATGACGAGCTGTTGGGCGATTCAGAGTGCCCCGCGCGCATAATTATCTCGCGTAGAGAGAGACGTTGCGTGACGCCGGCCACGACTCTCTCGTTACACACCTCGTCCATGCGCTCGTCCTTACACGGACATTATGTCCGCCGCTGTGTTTGTGCGATTGCATCAAACTTTATTGACACGAATGTCAGCACACTCCCACGTCCTCCAGCGCCAATCTCTTTCTCTCACTCTCTTTCTCTTTCTCCTCTTCCCTCTTTCTCCCTTCACCCCTTCTGCTTCCTCCCGTGCAAATATTCTCGTATTCTTCACGAAAATACGAGAAATATTTTTTCGTCACTGATAAAGACGTATCAGCGCGTAATTGCGGGTGCGAGACGTCAACATCGCTCGCGCCCGTGTTACATAAAGATATCTCTGGCTTCGCTAATACACGTCCTTATCAGTTCTCGAGACGGATTATCGTAATGCAACGATAACGATGTGTTTTAACATTAGAGATGTGCGAATCAAGAATTTTTATGTCGAATCGAATCTCATTTTTTAAATTCGAATTCGAATCGAATCGAATCTATGAAGTTTCATTCGAATTTGAATCGAAATGAATGAAATTGAATCATTAAAAAATTTAATATGACTATTAAACATGCAAATAATGATGGAAGATTTTAATATGAAAGGGAATATTGATATTGTATATCGGATAAGAAAACGCCGAGAACGATATCGCGCTGCCTTCTTCACTTCAAGCGCGTTTCTCGCGGGTTACTTAAAAATTCGTCAACTTGTCTTCGATCGATCGTAGCCGACCGTTGGGAATCCTGCCGTGTTATTCTCGCGATTCTCGGTGAGTCGAAACTAAATTAACTTGTAGTTATCTTCGGCGTCAAGTATAATATATTTTTGTCGCTCTAACGATATCAAGTGACAGAATGTGAAAATTACCACCGAAATTCTTCTCCCGATCGTGTGTGATTTTTGTTTTTACACTTTTTATCAGTGAAACTTTTCTTTCGAACTGTACGCGCTTTCTGAGTGAACTACGCGATTTCGGGCTCCCCTTGTTCCTCGGTATTCCGATATCGAGCGCTCCGCGTTATCGAACACAGCACATTTTCTCTTACTCGATTCTTTTCTCTCTTCTCTCCTCTCGCCGTTCCCCGCGTTCCTCCGCCGCGAGACCACCGCGAGATACACGCATCCACTCTTTATCCTCCTTTCACGCTTCCTCCCACCGCAACCACCTTCATCCCATGTTTCTCTTCCCGCGCAGATATCGCTATCCTGATTTCCTCTTCGTTGCTCCCTCGTTATTTACGAGCTCTATCACATTCTTCCGACGAATGGAACACTCGTGTGCGTGCTCGAGCGGCCGCGGCACAACGATGCGCCGGACGATGTCGCTGTTTTGCTCGCGATTCGCACAGAATGGGGAATCCATTATCGTCGGGCTTTCCTCCCACGACTGCTTGAACCTGATCGGCGATTAGGGTTTAACGACACACACACACACACACACACACATATTCGAGAGAGAGAGAGAGAGAGAGAGAGAGAGAGAGAGAGAGAGAGAGAGAGAGAGAGAGAGAAAGCAAGGGGATGCACGCAGTGGCGTGACCGCGGCCGCACTCGTATCTAATTTCTTTTCCCCGCCGAGTGCATCACAGGTGCCGGTGTATTCTTACTTTATCGCGAGCGCGCGAGAGAGAAAAGATGAGGGAACGCAGAAGCTGTAAAGAATGAGCGATTGTTACACGTGAACTTGAGAAATTGCGCATTTATCTCCGGCCGTGCTTTGCCTTGTACAAATTTAGATTTATGTATTCAGCTTTATATTCCTCACTCCTCCAGTATGCACGCGAGAATTTTATTAATTCGATCTTCCAATTAAATAACCTAATAAAGCGTTTCTAGAGGCGTTTTTAGAAAAGTAACACACCGTGCAACCGTGCGTCCAGCACAAGCTGACTTCATTTCTGTGTGAAACATTTCGACGTTTGTACTACATTTCCGTCGTAAAAATATTCCCAGTGAACGAATGTCCTCCCCCCTCTTTCTCTACACATTTATATTTATTTACATGTTTTTGCACTCGCTTTGTGCGCTCGCTGTGGCCTCCTCGTGAAGGAAGCCAAGGTGTCGAAGATAAGACGACAAGGGAAAGAGAGGCACAGGCGCCGCGAGAAGGAGAGAGACGCGAATGAGAATGGAGGGGCAGAGGTGGAATGGCGCGGCAAGGTGGAAAAATCCACGGCATGCGGTTACTTTCATTTATGGCCTAATGCTTAAGCTTCGTTCACAGAGTACCGTTGCGCCGTTACTCGGACGTGGACTACGACAACGCGCGCGTATGAGCCGGCGCTTCCTCTCGGGATCTCGCATTCTTCTGTCCCACCACCTCCCTCTCGTTGGGAGGAAGAAAATAGAAACGTCACTCGTGCGCTATTTCGAAGAACGACACGCTTCGACCGGTTCATCGCTTCGTCTTACAAACCGGATTATATTCGGCGTAGAAACACGAAAAATAAGAATAGTAAAACAAACCACCTGAGGGAAACGTTCTTGGGGGAGGACTCTCCGCGCGTTCTTTCCGAGCGAGCTATCAACGACAACCTTCCTCTGTTCTGTCTTAGATATGGGAGCTGGTGGATAGCAAGATAGGCTATCTCACGAGGAGCGGACTGTACAAGGGACTCGCGCTCGTCGCCTTCGCCCAGCAAGGGAAGCAACCGAGCGACAAGCTGCTGGAGAACTCCGAGTCTCAAGGTTAGTCGAGTGAGCTCTTCAGAATTAGGAAGAGAACAATTCTCAGCCTCGGGACTCGCGCTGTGGCTTTTTTCCCAGCGTTTCACGTGTCTTAATTTTACGATCGCGTAAGAACAGATTTAATTCGGTGGGATGAACAGACACACGACCTCGAACGCGCGCATTGGCAGAAATTCCATCTCCCCCAACCAAGACGCGTTTTGCTTCGTCCATTTACGTGAGCGTCGATTCGACGGAAATTTTTTTCCTCGCCGCGGAAAATACAATTCTGCTGTCACGGATACGTGACACCGGACGCCTCCGGCTGAGAGATCGTATCGGCTCTTGGGATCTGCTGTTAACTTCGGCGATTTGTTCATTATTTTCCTTCGCTCACGGTTCCCACCGTCTCGCCGATCCAGATCGAAACGTATCGCGGGCGCGAGCAGGTACGCTTCACAAACGCCGAGCGCTGTCTGCGAACGGTCTTCCGTGCCGTTGACATTGCGCCGCGCAGCCGTATATAGACGTAACCGCTGGAAGTAGGTCTTGAATAAGTCTATTATCGGACAGGTGTGCTTAGATAATGCTTAAACGCGTCTCGGGCCGTATCGAGAAAGAGAGAGAGAGAGACAGAGACAGAGACAGAGACAGAGACAGAGACAGAGACAGAGACAGAGACAGAGACAGAGAGAGAGAGAGAGAGAGAGAAAAAAAAGAAAGAAGAGAGAGAGAGAGAGAGAGAGATAGGAGACTGGTAGGCGTCGCTTTCGTGCCGGAGTCGTTGGCCGGCGGAAATCATCGCCGTTTTGTTTATCGCTGCTAGAAAGTCGCGCGCGTCATTATACATAACGCGTGTCACGAGAGAGAAAACGCAGCACGGGCTTGGCACGGCTTGAGGATACGCCGATCGCCGCTACGTGTGTCTCGCCATTTTATTTGCGTAGCAAAGAAGACGCGGAAATATATATTTGTCGCGTATTCACCGCGCGCGCGTTCATTGTGAAGCGACGGAGAGCCCGTCGCTTCACAACAATTTTCCCCGTAACTTATTCTTACGCAGGTATCACGCGGTGTGTACGCCTGTGCGCCGACAAAATGTCTTGCGTAAGATGTTAATTGTGCTCGCGTCCTCTTTATGCAAAAACAGCACGCAAAAGTGGACGCTTATTGCCACCGGAGATTTTGCTGCTCGAGCGCGCCTTCACATTTTCCCGGGAAGATTGCGCGAGCTGCACGCGAAAGGAGACATTATACGTCATCGTGTAACAGCACAAGTTTTATCTCGAGTCAAGTTTAACGGCCCGACGGCAAGAAAAATAGCGGCGATTTACTCGCGGCTGAACTTTCTTCCTTCCTGCGAGCGGCAAACGTCGATCGGAGCCTCGTGAGAAAACGCTGAATTACAACTTCGATAAACGAAAGCGGTAATATCGCACGGTACTCTCGGTAGTCACGCAGACGCAGACGAGGCACGTAGAGCGAACGTCGCAATAGCGAGCGAGGTATCGTGGGTCAGGAGACTCTTTCGGTATCGAGGTTGCGGTGAGACGGACGATTATTTGCCGCGACGCAGGTAGACGAATAACAATGCCGCGAGATCCCGCTTTGTCTCGTCCTGGAAGAATGAAGAATCGGCCGAATAGAACGTATCGGAAAGGACCCGTGCAGAAAGAAGTCACACGGAAAGAAAGAAGCACGTGCGTTTCCTTTCGATGTTGTTCTCTCGTTGTCCCGCGAGAGTTCGTTTAACACGCGATTTTCTCCTCGTCTCTCTCGGTCAAAAGTGACAAAACGGCACTACGTGGGCGGTCTTGGCGGCAACGGTCGCCAAAAAAGGAGGAATCGTTGAGTTATCGAGACGCGGAGCGATCTTTGGAGTGATCCATATATTTGTCAGCGCGCACAAGCGGGATAACAATGATAAAAACCACGACGTTCGCGCGCTTCTCAAAAAGGACTGAGAGATCATCGTGCAATCGTCCGCTTTTCGTCGTCGGAAGTGTGTCAGCGTGCCAATCGAAAAGGCGTTCATAAAGAACGATACGGTTAGAGAACAGGAAAATACTCTTGAGAATCTGTTCTCGCTGGAGGTTCGCAGAAATTCGTCGAGCTTGAAGAGAATGCTGAAGTGGACGATGAACTATGAAGGTGTGGACAACGCGACGATCGTCAAAAAGTAAAATATATCCATGATCGATAAAATTAATTCTTTTACCTATTTGTTTCCACGTGTATTTGTTTCAATATTCGAAATTTTAATTTCTTTATATATTATATATCGCCTTGTTGTATATTGCGTTGTAACGCAATATACAATAATGTATTGTAACATAATTGTAATATAATTGTAATATAATTGTAATATCGTAATGTATTGTAACATTGTAATATAATGTAATATAAATATAATATAATTTATATATTATGTGGTAATGTAATAAAAAATAATTCAGAATAAAAGTTTTTCAACCAAATGTTTTTTTTATTTGTGACACTTCACTTTTCTAGAAGATTATAGAATTTTCCAAAAGATTCTATAATATTCTAGAAGAATCCCGCCAGAAATTCCGAATACCTCTTCGGTTATTATGTTCTCCTGGTGCGAAAACGCGAAATCGGGAAAATCTGGAATTTTTAATTTCCCGCCAGAAATACCGAATACCTCTTCGGTTATCATGTTCTCCTAGTATGAAAATGAGAAATCGAAAAAACCTGGAATTACAAGCTTCCCGCCAGAAATTCCGAATACCTCTTTGGTTATCATATTCTCCTGGTACGAAAATGAGAAATGGAGAAAATCTGGAATCTTTAATTTCTCGCCAGAAATTCCGAATACCTCTTCGGTTATCATGTTCTCCTGGTATGAAAACGCGAAATCGGACAAATCTGGAATTTTTAATTTCCCGCCTGAAATTCCGAATACCTCTTCGGTTATCATGTTCTCCTAGTACGAAAATGCGAAATTGAGAAAATCTCGAATTTTTAATTTCGCGCCAGAAATCCCGAATACCTCTTCGGTTATCATGTTCTCCTGGTATGAAAACGCGAAATCAGGGAAATCTGGAATTTTTAATTTCACGCCAGAAATCCCGAATACCTCTTCGGTTATCATGTTCTCCTGGTATGAAAACGCGAAATCGGGAAAATCTGGAATTTTTAATTTCCCGCCAGAAATTCCGAATACCTCTTCGGTTATCATGTTCTCCTGGTATGAAAACGCGAAATCGGGAAAATCTGGAATTTTTAATTTCCCGCCAGAAATTCCGAATACCTCTTCGGTTATCATGTTCTCTTGGTACGAAAACGCGAAATCGGGAAAACCTGGAATTTTTAACTTCCCGCCAGAAATTCCGAATACCTCTTCGGTTATCATGTTCTCCTGGTATGAAAATGCGAAATCGGGAAGGTCTGGAATTTTAAGAAATTCTCGATTTCGCGTTTTCGTACCAGGAGTATATGATAACCAAAGAGGTATTCATAATTTCTAATGGGATTCTTCTATAATGTTCTACAACATTTTACTATATATATATATATATATACATATATATATTGTAAAATGTTATTATATATATATTATATGTCAAAGACGGGAAAGTTTGAATGGTACAGGAGAATAGTAAATTAAGCCTCTCCAACTTTACTTTTCGGTAATACAAATAAGATTTTATTCAATTCAGTAGTACAATAGGATTTTACTTAATTATAATAGAATTTTACAATAAAATTTTATTAAATTGAAGCGCATCCCGATAATGGTACAAAAACAGTATCTTTTCACGAAAGTGCTCGCAAATATTACGCGATAACTCGATAGTATTCTCGGTCTCTCAATTTTCGGGTGCAATCATCCGCGGTCGAGGGAATTTCGGACGTAGCCACGCAGAACGGAATTCCGGCCGGTATCGCTCAGCGCGGGTGGCTCTCACAACACTAACAATCCTGTGACACCAGAACCAAACGTGAGACCACCTCTTAGCCGTTATGATGGTCCGTCGAGATTCCCACTACGAGATGATACAAAAATTCGATACACGACAGGAAGAAGTGCAACCGAGTGGTTTTACAAGAGACTGGACTCCCCTCGATCGCTCATGCACCGCCGCTCTCCCTCTCTCTCCCTCTCTCTCTCCCTCTCCCTCTCTCTCTCTCTCTCTCTCTCTTTCTTTCTCATACTCTCAATCAGACACCGCTATGCGCACTCCATGTCCGAGGACTCTCAAATCGCCAAATGCACCGGGTCACAATCTGCTGAAAATCTGCCACTCCTCCTCGGTGAGCCGGTAATGTCTTTTTTCCCTCTCTGGCACTTCCTCGTCTTCGTTTCCGTTCTGCGCGGCTTCACAGCATTTCGGAAGTAATTCCCCCGAAATCGACAGCCTATGCCAATGACAATAGGTTCCAGCTGTGTTCTCCTTTGTTGTCGCCACTACTTTTTCTTGGGTCACGGCATATCACCTGCGTTGGCCACGTGCAACAGTTGACTCTTTGCGACAGCCAGCCTAAAAACAAAGATTCATTTCCGATATTAAAGCGCTGTATGGTAATCATGCATTAGGAAGAAAGGGGAAACAATCACCTGAAACAGAGTGAGTAGCGCGCGGTGATCAAAGCTCTCCTCCATGTCGTCCAGTCTCCACACAATCCCTCAATGTCCTTTCGTCCATGTCCTCCTGGCCGGCGAGGGGAGCACGGGGATGCAATCATTGGGATGCGCTGACTACTGACCTATTTTTCATAAATAGAAATATACAAATTGCGCGATCCTCCGAACCGATCCTCTCGGAGGCACCCGTCACAATGTACGATGAATTTTTACAATATTTTATAACAATTTTTACAACATTTGTATTTCTAATATTACCGGAAGTAAAAGTTTCAATATCAAAATTTAATGAGAACGGTTTGCTTTTGCAAAACCGACAATTTTCTGTCACTCTGCAATGTGGCGTTGGAACCTAATTCGTTGCAGTCGATACGTAACCGATCGATTTCTATCGCTCCTAACAATCGAACGGCTATCAGCCCTGCTGAACGCGACCCGGCCACGGCTGTTACATCGGAAAGTGCGTTCTTCACGCGGAAGGATACGTCTTGTTCTCTTTACCCCGCAGAATTACCCGTACCCGTCCTGGGCGATTTGTCGGAAGTGACGCTACTCGCGCAGAGGCTGCACAGAGGCAGCAATCCCGCCAAGCTGAATCTCACGTACTCGGACATTTGTAATCTTGACACCATCGAGGTCAACCTCGTTCCCGAGAAGAAGGGCATCTTCCTCAAGCACGTGGAGTATCAAGTCATCAGCAAGGTATTACCGAGCTCAACGTTTTCTCCTATGAAAAATACGAAAGAGTAGATTATGCTATCATTGTGCAATCGACGTGTAATATCTACGTCGCTTAGATTCACTCGTAGCGAGTAAGAATCATCACGCCGAAGCCGAAAGAGGCAAGCTCACGCGGAACGTTCTACTCTCTTGCAGAGATTCAATTCTAAAGTGTACAGGCGTTACAACGACTTCGTGTCGTTGCACGAACTCCTCTTGGCCCGGTTTCCTTATAGACTGATACCCAAGTTACCGCCGAAGAAAATCGTGGGAGGTGAGCACACAAAGCCGACACACAAATGTCGACGCAGACGATGAGCAACGTGCGAAGTTGCCGCGATTTTCATAATCTCTTCAGCGAAATATCCGGAAGATTCTAATTAAGATTTGCTATTGTAACACTAAACATATATTATCATCTAATCATGGCACGCAGTACATCTTATCCCCCCTGCTAACACAATAATATCACGTAAAATCTAATAATCGGAATCGCCAAGCGCACCTAACCTAATCATAGATGACAATTAGACGATTAATGACGAGCGAGAGATTTGCGCCCGCGAAGAATCTTCTCTCATCTCTTTTCGCATCCCTCGCAGCGGACTCGCAATTTCTCGAGGAGAGGAGACGCTCTCTCCTGCGGTTCCTCACGCTGATCGCCCGCCATCCGGTGGTGAGCAAGGACCCGATCGTCCAATTTTTCTTCACGTACACCGGCGAGGAGACGCAGCACAAGATCCGCGAGGTGTTCCGTCGAGTGCCGGACGAGTTCGCCACGTCGGAGCTGTCGTCCCGGGCGAAGGAGCTGGTGCCGCCTGAGACGCTGACCGAGTTCGCCAACAGCCGCGATCAGATCCGAGTGATACTGCTCGGGATCTCGCGGCTGAAGAACATCGCCGACTGCCTGGCGATCAGGTCGCATAGCTACGCGGTCGACATGGCCGAACTCGGCACGCAACTGAGCAACTTGGCCGCGGAGCCGCACGGAGCCAGCTCCTGGGTAACCGGTGGCTCGACTATCTGGCAGGACATGAAGAAAGGTTTCCACATCATTTCCAAGTGAGAATTCAGACGAGATATCTCGCTAACGGAAGGTACTCGCGGTCGTTGTACTCTTCCGATATACGCTACGATCGATTTTCTTCATTTCTGTTTCTTCGTTTGTTCACCGCGAAAACTAAACGATATAGAACAACGCTCGTATCTCCACTTGGTACAGATCGAAAAGACACCGCATGAATTTGCTCGAAGAATACTCCGAAGAACGTCACGCTTGTCTTTCGCGGTTTTCTCGCGCACGCGCACGTGTGTGAGTGAGTAACGGCGGAAGGAATGGATGAATAAACATTTTCCAGGGAGTTCAACCTGTTGTCGACCAGGGCGTTGCAGCAAGCGGTCCGGGAGGAGACCATGGTGTGCGAGAGGCTGAATCTCTTGCTGGACATTTTAGTCGCGCACAGAATGCTGTGCGAGAGACACGAGCGAGGTGTGAGCGCCGATCACCAGCGCGCCTTGTCGACGATGCTGTCCCTGAAGAAACGGCAGATGCAAGGCGTCATTCGCGGGACCGACGTAAGTATCCACTCGAGATTCGCCAGCCCGGCAAACCGTGACTCCCGTGCAATTTGACCGGCGGCGATCGCGGTAATCGTGTTTTCGCAATTGCATAATTACTCGCCATCAGCCGACTTAAGGCAGCGCGCAATTTGGCGCGCGGGGCCAAATAATAAGCAGCCGCGAGCCTCGTAACTTCCTACGAGGCTTACGCAACGGCGCGCGCGTTTTCGCCGGGGATTTCGCGCGAGATTTCATCGTGCCGCTCTCTGCGCGCAGGCCGACACGGTGGAGTACCTGGAGAACAAGATGGTCGCGCAGGAGTCGGTGATCGCCAACGTCGAGCTGAGGAACTGCTTCTCGCTGCACTGCCTGCACATGGAGACCCAGCTGGTGCACGCGCACCTGGAGATACTCGCCACCGTGCTGCAGAGCCTCGTGAGCGTGCAGATACGCGGCCACTCCGAGGTGAGAGTCGTCTCGGCATTTTCGGCAACGACGCAACTCCCCTCTTCTTTACTGATTCATTAATGAACGTGTTCATTTTGCAAACGAACGCGGAGACCCCGCTGAGTCGTCGCACGGTAATGCTGCTGGCGTCAACGGTAGATATTCAGAGAGATACAGTCTGTAAAGTAAGAGCGTGTACGGGTTAATGTGTAGAAAAATTTATTTTTAATGATTTTTAAGTACATGGATTTGTTGTACTTCATGAGAAGAAAAATGCTATATCATTAATCATAATGAGTCCAGTCACCACCGGCATTGATAATTGCCTGGCATCTCCGAGACATACTTTCCACTAAGTTGACTGCGTATTCGTATTCGGTAAAGACCTCCAAATGAGACGAATTTGTCGCGTCAGCTGCTTCAAAGTGCACACTCTTTTTCCTCGAAGCTTGTGCTTGAGATATGCCCACACATTTTCAATGGGACTTACATCTGGCGAATGCGATGGCCAATCAAGTGTGACGATGCCAGACTGCTCTTTCCACTCGGTGCAAAGCTTGCTCCGGTGTTTTGGGTCGTTGTCTTCCTGTAAGATCCAGTCCTCGTTTTTTTTTTTTTATGAAACATCGTTCAGCAGTCGGCAACAAACACTTCTCATAAATTTTAAGCATTAAGGTCGGGTTCCGCTTAAACAAATTCACAATTTTTTTTCCATATTCAGCGTCACTTTGCCTATCGAGCCACGTTCTGGCAAGTCATCGACATTTTTGACCTTCTTATATTGCTGAACCCACTTAGCGACGAACGATTTTGACTTTCCCATGTATTTAGCAGCCACTGCATATGACATTTTTGGTCATTTGGGGTGGGGACAAAGGAACACAGCCTCGTAGCGCGATGCGTATGCGGCACTCATATGCGGCGGTTAATGTGTTTCTCAGGTTAGAGTTCGATGCCAACTGAATCTTTTGTGACAAAGCATTCACGACAAAGATTTCACCTATCAGCTCACAAAAAAACTAGGACGATATTTGAAGCCAACTGCCATTTATGCCGTACACCCTCTTACTTTACAGACTGTACTTCCCGACATACACCCGACATAATACACGGCTTCTGTTGCCTTCGCAGCACCGCGGCTCTCTTATCGTTTCACCACAGAGGATCTCGCGAAAGTTCGTCGGATGCTCGATGGCGGAAGGATCGAGTCATTTTTACACACGCGTGACATCGGCCGATTAACGCGCAGCACACGCGGTTTCGTTACGACTGTTAACACGACAAGAAATAGAGAGACAGCGATCCGACGAACTGTTGCGAGTGGCCGATATGATTTGTTGAGACAGTCACGCAGTCTCTCACTTCATTTTATCGCACTATATTGTCGTCCATACACGCTACACGCGTATCTCAGGATTATATGTTTACCGTTAGAGAGAACATTTGCATAAATCCCCGGAATCACGAGCGCGGATTGAGATTGCTGATGCAAATGTTTGTTTACAGTTGGCTGAAGTGTGGAAACTGATCGAACCGACGATTACCAAGTGTTTACCCGAGAAGTTGGCAAGCGGCTCCAACGGGGTCTCATAGCACAGGGAAGTTTCGTGTGTTTGTCCCGGCGGATCGTGCGTTATCAAATTAATAACCGAGACTCGTATAGACTTGTAGCAAATACGATCATCGACGCGCGCGCCGCGGTTCTTCACGGAGATGAGAAGTCCAAGCTTCATTCTCCAATCCTTTCCCAGCGCCATGTCGATATTAACTACCGTACAATTTTATACTCTCTCCTCCTCCCCTTATGTCGTACGTTCGCTTGGATATTCAAGTGTGTCGTGCATGATGCCAGCGACCGTGCAATCTATTTTAGGTAAAAGAAATTACACGAGAAGGCGTATTTATCTCCTCGACGATTGCAGCGACCAGAATCTCGACTGTATAGTGCGCGTAACTTTTATATATATATATATATATATAAAAGTTATATATATATAAAAGTAACTTTTATATATATATATATAAAAGTTATATATATAAGTATATAATATATATATATATATATACATACACATACATATATACATACATATATATATATATATATGTATAGACATTCCTTGTTGTGTACTTAATATATTTTATGAACTACCAAATGATATATATCTGTAATTCTCTCTCTCTCTCATTGTTACACATCGCTATGTACATACAAAGACTTATAAGTTGTGTATATATATGTATACGTTGTAAATAATTTAAACGTCCAACTAAACTCTTGTAGGGAGATTTGTATTCTTGTACGCATGTATGTAGGAACAGGTCTGAAAGGATTTATGGGTTACACAGAGTTTAGTCAGATAGTAGAGTTGAGATCGTATTAATTGGCGAATGAGAAAGCGCGAGTCGTAGCGTCCATAGTGAGACATGAATGTAATTTTTGATTCGGTAACGCGTTGGGATACTGACTCGCTTGGGCTTTGTTCTTTCACCCGACCATTTTAAATTTTACTACCGAGATTATTACTCTTTGTCCATGTACGTTTGTACGTTTCCCGTTTGAATATTCGTCAGACGCCTCATTGTGAAATTATGGATATTTTCAATATACACGGACTCGGGACTTTTCTCCTTCCTTCGTTTGTTCTGAGCGGTTTTTCTCTCAGCAGAATCAACGTTTGTAAAATTTGATTTTTTCATCACTCTACAATAAGGTTAAAAATCGTAAAGCGCACAACCGAGTTCTCACGCAGGAGAAATTTAACCAGGAGGAATTACTGCTCCAAGGTGACTGAGGAGACCGAAAGTCCAATAGTCGCCGGCAGATATTTGACACATTTTACATATTATGCTCATGTTTATAACGACAATGCAATATATTGTTATTGTAAAGAAATATGTGGTTTTTCTTCCCTTTCCTCTCGCCACGTGTAAATAATTTTAGAATTAGTATTACAGAAAATGTGTAGATAGATAGTTTATAACGACGCTGAAAAAGAAATATTAGAAAATGAAAAGATGATCTGACTCGTCCAAGACTCACTATTTGTAAATAAAAAATTTGTCCATCTTATCTTCGAGGCGCACTGCGATCTCAATTTTTCATCAAGAATAATGGCAAGAATTTTGGAAAATTGATCTACTGCACCTGTTAAAAAATAGACTATCTGGCATGATTTAACAATTTCGAAAAAAGCATTATTACGCTTAACGGGTTTGAATCTTGACTAGTGGGTTCAAGTCTTGGCTAAATGGTTTGAGTTTTCGCTAAATGCAGTTCCAGAATTTCCGCTATGAGCCGCCACTTTAATTTAATGAAAAACTAAAGTTGCAGTAGCAATAAGTCAGACGAAAATTTTTTATTGTCTGGACATAGGCCTTTTCAAAATTTAGAATTGAATAGCGTGTCGAAAGATCTTTCTTCATTTTTTGAGTTTACATTTAATTACTATTTGCAATTAAACAATCTTGACAAAAAGTTAAAGTATAATTGGAAGATGGAAAAAATTCAACAGGCCAAAAGTTTGAAACAATGAAGAATGAACGAGATGAGCCAAGAAGCAAGCATTTTACAGTCGAATGACTCCAACTGTCGGAAAATATCACGACCATAACATCGCTGTCGTCTTTCGCGATCAGCCCTTTAATCGCAAAGAAAAACGAATAAAAAGGTCAAGAATATCGATTCGTCAATCGCGCATCTAGCGTGAAGCGTTAATTATTGCCCGGTCATTAAAATGCCAATTTATCACGTGTAAGCACCACCAGTACGCAAGAGCGCGTCGTTTCCCGTAAACTAGCCGTCGAATGCGGTGCATTATCCACGAGCATCAATTTGAAATAAGGCCCTTGAAAGCTTCATCGGGATCCTTGCCCTCGGCTGGCAGGGCGGGGCGACGGTCGCGTAATGCTCTTTGAACGTTCCGCATTTTAGATTAAAGGCGGTTAACCGAGTCTTTCTCTTCAACGTATACACCGGACGAACCGTCGTCTCGTCGACGGACAGAGAGAGAGAGAGAGAGAGAGAGAGAGAGAGAGAGAGAGAGAGAGAGAGAGAGAGGGGGGGAGAGAGAGAGAGAGAGAGAGAGAGAGAGAGAGAGAGAGAAAAAGGACGGCATTCGAATTGCAGTCGAGCGGAAGTAACGTTTATCTCGGATATTTCTTCGCGAAACGACTTGTGTTGATCGCTCACTGCGATGTACACAGGCCGATTCCAAACTATACACGAGGTGGATTTTCAGACGTTCGAGAGACTCGACTGCCCTCTCGTCGGGAAATACGATCGAGGACATATTATATTACCGTCTTCTCCCCGCTCTCACGGCTGAAACGGTTCGCCCGAAGCCCCGGTGGTGTATGCTGCTTCTTTCCCCCTTCAAACACATCTACGCTCCTAATTCCAAAAACGTCCTGTCGCGCGGATGACGAACGACGTCACTGTTGCACGACGATAATCCCGTATCGCGGCTTGCCGTGCCGCGCTTTGCTGATTCATTTCGCGACGGGAAAAAGGGGAACAAGTCGTCGTTCGCGGCGTTGAACGATACCGCGCGCTCGGGCAATCGAAGGTTGCCGCACTTTTTCTCGATGGCGATTTCACAACCGCGCGCGGAATAAAATGCCGTCGTGTCGCGGTAGAATGGAATAGTCAACAGTGTCATAATTGGAATAAATCTTTTGGATTCGATGCAGTAATATCACTGAAATGTTAGCGGAAAATATTGTCTCCAGGCTGAAGGCAACATTTTCCGCAATTTAGAATATAATCAATCAGCGCGGAAGTTTACTAATTGCGATCAGTTCCGCAGGACCTCCATTATTACTTTAGAGCCTGTCTATATATGTATATATATATATATATATATCGCGTACAATATTATCAAGCTCGATATTCGAGGCACTGTAAAGCAATGTACGATGCCCTAGTTTCAATGATACGGCTGTTGAAAAAAAAATGCCGCAGTTGTGACCAACTCCGTCGATACAACACTTTTCTTCCCCGTGCACCCAACAGGAAAACACACCCCTGAGAGTTACCGGAAAGCAAATTCTCCCATCGAAGAATCCACGTCGGATGAGGAAAATCATGGTGGTCTTTAATCATCTTTACACAACACGATCTACTCAGGATGCTCCTTCGCCACGCATGGCAAGCAAGATCTCCATTCGTTGCAGGGGACCTCTCCCTCCCTCACACGCATACACACACACACACGCGCACACACGCACACACACACACACTTTCTCTTTCTCTCTCCCCCTTTTTCCAGCCGCGCTTGAATGTCAACATAGATAACGCTCGAGCGATTGAGAAGTCGGGGACGACAGGGGGACGAGGGGGGGGGAGAGGGGGCAATAAACGAGCCCTCTCGAGCGAGCATTCTCATCCCCGAAGAGTCGCGCGGATCCGGCTCCGCTGGTATAGCATATACGCCGCACTGGCGTGTACGCGCCAAAGGACGAGCTACTGAACATTGCAGAGGCAATTTTCCCCGACAATGCCAGCCACTTTGTTTCGCCGAGGATCGCCCGTGTGCGTGCGTGCTTTGAGAGTCGCGCGTGACTCGGCTACAACGTTGCGCGCCGGTATGTACCGTTTCTTCGCGGTCCGACGCCAAAGGGACTCCTGGGGTCCCGGAAGAGCGTGCAGGCCCTGGCGCCGTGCGCGGTCTTCAGGTACGCGGAAGAGGAAGCGCGCGCCATGAGGATGGCGACGCAGAGGGCGTTAATTAGGCGCTTTAGGCGATCCCGAGGTGACTGATTCGGCCTCTTTTGTGCGCTCAAACGCACGCAGATGTTCGCTCATCTGTCTACCTGTCTGTCCGTTTGTCTGTCCATTCATGCTACTCTTCGCGTTGTTGAGGATATCGCGCCGCGATTATTATTAATATCATTAGTCGAGCGGGGGGCGGAGGAATCCCTCCTGCTCGCGTGGACTTGTCGTGTCTCATCCCGTCGCGGAAATGGAACGCTTTTTCCGAACTACGTCGAGGATCATTGACACGTTAACGATTGAATTTAATAAAGTTACGTTAAATAAATGAAATTCACAGGACGCGTCTGTATCGTTAATCTTTCTTCGTCGGTGTTTTTTAGTAATTAATTTTATATATAATATAATAATATAATATTACATATGATATAATATAATAATTCCATATATATATATATACACACACACACACACATATATATGCATATAAATTTATAAATTGATAAATTTATTAATAATATTAAAGCGACTACCAGTAAATGTAATTTTACAATTTTTTTAAATTGAAATTATATTATAATGTGTGATTATATTTTATGTGTGATTCGATAAAGTACGATAAAACCGTATCATCGGAAACCGGAGATCGCCATTTTTTTCGCAAAATAAGTGGGAAAATTATTATAAAAATTAATAATGGAATTAATTAAAGTACGATAGATGAATCTAATTCGGAATATATTTTCAAATTTATTTTATCGGTTCTCTTCATTAGCAACACACAGTTAACTTTTCCGATGCACAATTAAATATACAATATTTTATATTTAACTTAATGAGACACAGCGGAAATACTGTATTTTTCCGGATCACGAAGTAATATTATTAACACACCGACAAATGAATTAATAAAAATACGATAAATCTAATTCAGGATACGCGCAATTAATCTTTCAGGTGCT